ATAAAAATTCGGGTATTAATGATCATTATCTAGTAGATAAATACCGAACCTTTGCAAAATAAGTTACTAAAAGCTATTATTAATAGGGAAATATTTCCAATCAGTGAAAAGATGCGACGTCCATTCCAGGTTACCGTACCGAATGTGGCAACCTGTAGCTACCTGACTATATAAAAATAAATCTATAAAAATTCACTCTACCGTAAGTCCACTGTCAAAATAATTTTTGGTAAACATTTTGTGAAATCAGTGGAGCAACAATGGAGCTTTAAATATATAAGAGGAACAGAATATTATATTCGTGAATCTGGTACTGGTTTTTGATTATTCTGTTATAATAATTGAAAACTTCTGTACGATTTGCTTTGTACTCTAGATGTATACATACATTTATCTTATACCTTAGTTTTCTATTTAGTTAGTATTTCTACTCTGTTGGTTGAAACGACTCCAAATAACCTTTGTCTTTATTAAACGATATTCTCAAGACAAATAATTCGTGATAAAGCTTATAAGGTTGAATGTATTTAGCATACTTGGCTATTTTGTTATCTATTGTGTGGATTACGAAACACTTAGTATGTTTAAAAAACAAAAAGGATAATGTATATATATCTGTATGTGTGTGAGAGAGAGTAACCATTTGAAATAAAACTATTAATGTTTTTCTGTTTATTTACCATGTTATAAATATTTGAAGATTTATACCGGTAGCTTTAACTGAGAGTTTAAGGCATGGCAATAATAACTAAATTACTTCTGTTTTAAGCTCAGTTCCTACTCCCTTTCTACGCTACTAGCATTTGAACCTATTTGTATTTCTTTTTTGAGTGAGTTAACAATTTCAAACCTTATTGAACGAAAGTACTTCTACAAAATAATATTTTAAAATATTGACCGAGACCCAGCAAAATGTTGTACTGTCTCACAAAATGGTGACTGCTCCGAATTAAGTAGACACTTGAAACTAATAATTAGTGTGCCAGTGTGATACCGACGATTAATGGTTCGCTTTCTGTTACAACAATGCGGTATTGCATTTCGTGGCTGTGACGCTTAAATCCCGCTATTCGGTCAGAAAAGAGTAGTCCAGTAATTTACGGTAAGTGTTCTTTACTAACTGCCTTCCCTCTAGTCTATCAGTTCAATATTAAAACGGTTATGGGTAGATAGCATTGTGTGTAGTATTGTACAAACATTACAAAAACAAATTAACAAACTTAAAATACGTTGAAAAACAACAACAACAACTGCATTGCGATGTCCTCATGACAAAGTTCTCAGCATACAGGCCTCAGCATGGCCAGGTGGTTAGGGCGCTCGACTCGCAATCTGCGGGTCGTGGGTTAGACTCCCCGACACACCAAACATGCTCACCCTTTGCCCAAGAGTTAGCGGTGGGTGGTGATGACTAGCTGCCTTCTTTCTAGCCCTACATTGCTAAATTAGGGAC